GAAAGTGCTTGATACTCCATTTAGAGTCGATGGAATTGAAATGAATAGAGTCAATGAGGTGAAATTTCTGGGTGTCATCATTGATGAAAAACTAACATGGAGATCTCACGTAAAAAACTTAAGAACTAAAATAGCTAAATCGATCGCAGTAATGTACAAAGTTAGAGAGTTATTCAATGATAAAGCAATGTTTCTATTGTATAATGCCATTATTGTTCCACATTTAATTTACGTATTGAAGTCTGGGGTAAAGCATGTAAAACAATTACAAATCCAATTTTTATTTTACAGAAAAAAGCCATGAGAATTATTACCAGAAAAGATCGTAACCATCCATCAAATATATTGTTTCATCAGCTAAACATATTAAAATTTTATGACTTGGTTGATTACAATATCTTACTGTTTATGTATGGGGCCAACAAAAACATACTACCTACTAACATTCAAGGGACATTTGTTAAAAGAGAAAGTAATTATTATCTTAAGGGGATGGAGATGTTTGTGAAGCCGTGGTGTCGCACCAGTCTGAAGATGTGATCCACTAGATCTCAGGGTATTAGATTGTGGAATGATCTGGAGGTTGATATTAAAAATGCCAAAACTATGTACATATTCAAGAAGATGATAAAAAATTTTTTTTTTTTTTTAAATATTAAGTATAATGCGAGTTCATAAAAATTGTTTACAGTTAATCTTATATTTTAGCTAAGTTTTTATTTTATTATTTATTTATTTATTATTAATTCATCTTGCTTTTGTATAGTAATTTTGTTTGGAATATATTTTGGGGACAAGGGGCAGATATTATAAGAACTCATTCTTCTTCTGCTGCCTTTCATTTTGTTTCTGTGATTGTATATCTTTTTTCTCTTCTTTAAATTGTATTATATTTGTTGTTTGGATGAAATGAAATGAATAAATAAAACAAATACATACATACATACAAAAACTGTGGGAAATAGATCGAGCTGACAGGATGAGGACTTAGACTTGCTGATAATGTCAGCAATGTCATGAGCAGAGGGGAGGGAGAAGACAGAGAAGGGGAGGGAGGGAGGGGGGAGTTCAACATAGATGCTGGGGGCGGTATTAGGTCCAAGGTGTTTATGAATTGAAAGAATCTTTTCATTGAAATAGGACATCAGTGAGTTGCAAAATTCTGTGGAAACCATGTGAGAGGGTAACGAGTTAGGAGATGAGACTGAACGGTTAAGGAGAGAGAACAAAGTCTTTGAATTGCCAACATTGGAACTGATGATGTCAGTGAAGTAGCTGGATTTGGCTTGAGAAATACTGTCCTTATACTGGATGACGTGGTTCACATAGAGTTCCTTGTGAATTGAGAGACCGGATTTCTTATAGAGTCGCTCCAACTTCCAACCTTTGGATTTCAGAGAATGGAGTTCTGGAGTGAACCATGGTGCAGAGTTGGAGAAGGAGACAGACCGGGTTTTCAGAGGAGCGACAGAGTTAAGGATGTTGGTGAGGCTGTTGTTGTAGAATGTGACAAGGTCATCTGGGTTAAAAGAATTGAAGGTGAAGATGGTATTATTAATATGAGACAAAAGAATGTCATAGTTTATATTCTTAATATTAGAGAAGGAAAGAGTGCGTTGAGGTGAGAAATTTTAAAATTGACACTGAATGAGATCATGAGGTGATCAGTAAATAGAAGTCCATCAGAAGAACAGTTAAGAGAAGAGAGTCCAGCGTGTAATAAGTCCAAAGTGTGGTCCTTTATGTGGGTTGGAAATTTAATGAACTGCTGGAAGCCACAGCTGTCGAGGCAGGATGTGAAGTCTCTGATGAGGGGGTTGTTGTCTTCATCCATATGAATGTTGAAGTCTCCAAGCAGAATAATGTTGGGTGAAAGAGCTGAGAGTTGGGTGATTAGAGCAGCAAAGTCATTTATAAAAGAGTTGTTGATTTTGGGCGGACGGTAGAAAGTGGCAACAACAGTGGGGGTAGGGCCAGAGAGTAGACACACAGTGTGCTCAAAGGAGGGAGAGGGAGGTGTGTGAACAGGCATGACCTTCCAGTTCTCGCGATGAAATATCGCGAGACCTCCTCCGCGGCCGGACTCGCGGGATTTGGCGATGTTAACAAACTCCGGTGGGGTAGATTCATTCAGATGGAAAAAGTCATTTTGTTGTTGCCACGTTTCTGTTAGACAAATAAAATTTAGCTTACGGTCGGATATTAGGTCTTGAATAAGCTGACCTTTGCCAGTGAGTGAGCGAACGTTCAGAAGGCCAAACTTTATGGGGGAGGAGTTTGTAGTGACTGGAGCATTAGCCGACCGAGCTAGGCTAGCTAACATGCTACTACTGTTAGCGGCCCGAGTATTGCGGCATGTAGAACGGTGATGGTCAGACCAGATGGAGTTTATGGGGTTAGACTTGTCAGCGTGGAGTCTACGGCAGGAGCCACGGTGAATGTATCTCCGGCGAGGATGGAAGGCAATGTCCTGAAGAGGGAGCACAGGTGGCACGGCTGGTAGGAAACGAAGGCGAAGGAGCTCGACCGCTGAGTAATGGAGGAGGCCAGACGCCGGGTGGTAGTGGATGAGCAGCTGGAGAGTCCAAAGCAGAGCAGGCAGCAGGTAAATCCTAATGAACCGCATGGCTGATATTGAGATGATCAGAGACTTGGTGTAGTGGAAAAGGCAGGAAGGACTGAACAAAACAGAAAAAAGCAAAAAAGCACGACGAGCAGCGGCAGCCAGGATGCGCCAGCGTTCGCTCACCGGAAGTGGACCGGAAGTGAAGTATCTACTCTAATATCTAAGATTATTCATTTATCTCTCTCTTCTGGTTTTGTCCCACCATCACTCAAAACTGCTGCAATAACTCAAGTTCTTAAAAAAAAAAAAAACGGTGTTTATCCAACTGACTTAAATAACTTTAGACCAAATGTCTAAACTTTATTTCCAAAATACTTGAAAAAACAGTTGCAGTCCAGGTTCACAGTCATCGTTTTGATAATAATCTGTTTGAAGAACTTCAGTCAGGTTTCTGCCCCCTCCACAGCACCGAGACAGCTTTCATTAAAATCAGCAATGATCTCCTGGTTGCTGCCAACTCTGGACTTTTATCAATTCTCATTCTCCTTGACCTGAGTGCAGCATTTGATGACATTTCACATGATATTCTTCTCAGTAGATTACGTTCCATTGGTTTTTCTGGCATTGCTATAAATTGGTTTCAATCTTATCTCTCTGACCGTCAACACTTTGTCCAACTTAAGAACTTCAAGTCACAGTCCTCCACAGTTACTTCAGGTGTACCGCAGGGTTCTGTTCTTGGTCCTCTCCTGTTTATCATTTATCTTCTTCCACTTGGCCTTATATTTAAAAAAATTGGCATTAATTTTCACTGCTATGTGGATGACACCCAGCTTTACCACTCCACCAAGCCCAACACCACCCTTCTACCATCCTTCCTTTTTAGACTGCCTCTGTGAAATCAAATGATGGTTTAATCAGAACTTTCTTAAACTGAACTCAAATAAAACAGAATTCCTCCTTGTTGGCACCAAGTCTACATTATCCAAATGTAACATGTTCACAATTAAAGTTAATGATTCCACAGTTTCTCCCTCCCCTACAGCTAAGAGTCTGGGTGTCATCCTTGATAGCACATTATCTTTAGAATCTCATGTCAATAACATTACTCGGTCTGCATATTTTCATCTTCGAAACATGAACCGTCTCCGTTCATTTCTTGCCCCCACCAGCACAGCTATCCTTGTCAATGCACTAGTCACCTCTCAATTAGACTACTGTAACACCCTTCTCTCAGATCTTCATCTCAAAATCATCCATAAATGTCAGCTTGTTCAAAACACAGCTGTCCAGATCATCACTAGAACTACGTCGAAGGACCACATCACCCCTATCCTTAAACATCTTCACTGGTTACCCATAAAATATTGCATCAACTTCAAGATTCTCCTCCTCACTTTCAAAGCTCCCCACAACTTGGCACCTCTGTACCTCACTGATCTTCTTTGCTATTACACACCTGCCCGAAGTCTTCGATCCTCCCTATCCATCTCTCTTGTAATACCTCCTGCCCGCTTGACAATCATGGGATCCAGAGCCTTCTCCCGCAAAGCCCCTTGTCTCTGGAACTCTCTTCCACAGCACATCCATAATTCTGATTCTCTGCCCTCATTTAAATCTAACCTTAAAACTCACTTTTTCAAACTTGCTTATTCTGTTTAATGTCATTACGCATTTTATCATCATTAGCATTTGATTTTGATATCTGTATTTTACTGTTTATTGTTTTTTATCTTTGTATTTCGTGTTCGGTGACCTTGAGTGTTCTGAAAGGCGCCTTCAAATAAAATGTATTATTATTATTACTCCTACTTCGCAGTTTTTCACTCATCGTGGATCTTCAGGGTACAGATCCCCCGTGATAAATGAGGGACTACTGTACATACAGCTTATATATATATATATATATGTATATATATATATATATATATGTATGTGTGTGTGTGTGTGTGTGTGTGTGTGTGTGTGTGTGTGTGCATACATATACACCCAATGTCTTACATCATTTTAAATGGTCCCGTTTCATTTTGGAAAATTGTTCATTTCATTAGGGTTCTAAAAGTGTTGTTGAATTGAAATGAAAAGCTACAGTAAATGAAAAACAGCTCTTTCAGATGTTACAGGTAAAACTACAGTATGAAGGAAATGCTTTTTTTTTTTTTTTGTTGTCATTTTTATTCATTTCATATTTAAAACACAAAAACAATTTAGAAACCAAATGAGAAAAAAAACACGTCATAAAATGAAAGGTAGCAGAAGAATAAAAAATCTTATATCTGCCTCTTGTTTAAAACAAAATCAATTCAAACAATCAACTCAAACAATAATCATCTATAAGTAATATAACAAAATAAATAACTCATCACAATTTTACGTATTTATTTTTTAATCAAGTGTTTTAAATGGTCAGTCTAAAAATAATGTGAATAGTTACCTGATATGGCATAGCGTATAGTAGGGCATCATATGGAATGAAGACGTAACCATTGGAGACCATACCCATGTCCATAGCAGCCAACAGGAGTGAATTTTGATGCTCTCCACCAATCAGAACAGAGCTCATGCACATGATGACAACTGAATCAGAAACAGACAATCAGCTGATTAATTTTATTTTATTATTTAAAAAAAAATTATGTTAAAAAAGTTAAAATGCCATCAAATCACTCACTGTTAAAAGTCTCAAACAAATTATGTCAAACATTTCATTAATTTTACCACAAATGCTTCTAGGTCAACAGATGGCTTGGAGTTTATTTTTATTCATTGGACTTTGATCTTGAGGGACCCCAGGACCATACTAGGGTCCTTAATGCCCTTTTTCCACTGTCACGGCGTGGGTCTAATATTTCCGGCTTGACCCGTGTTTGAGGTCTTTTCCATAGTTCTTGGACCTGCTCACCTCCCAGAATTCTGGCCCGGCTTCTCAAGGGGTCCAAGTGAGCTGAGCCATGACGTCAGAAACACTGTCGGTCACTGATTGGTCGGGGGGAGGAGTCTGTGGAGTCTTTCCAAACAACCCGATCCACCATTTTTCTCTACCGCCTGCCATTAACGATAACTCAAGGAGCGTATATTTTAGTATTTTGAAGCTATACAAAAACAATAATATCAAAGCCGTGATCAAATGCAGAAGTGCAGGTGTTGTGTTTGGTGGCCGACGAAAAAAGTCAAAGCGAGCTAGAAGGAGCGATTGGAGGGTGGTTTATTGGGTGGCAGGTGTTCAACTGAACTGAGCACTCCTGCTGTGTTTGATGGTCTCCTCCTTCACCATCCATCCATCATCCATCATCTTCTGCTTCTGGGTCATGGGGGGAACAGCTTTACCAGGGCCATCATCCATACATACAGGTCCTTCTAAAAAAATTAGCATATTGTGATAAAGGTCATTGTTTTCCATAATGTAATGATAAAAATTAAACTTTCATATATTTCAGATTCATTGTACACCAACTGAAATATTTCAGGTCTTTAATTGTTTTAATACTGATGATTATGGCATACAGCTCATGAAAACCCAAAATGCCTGTCCCAAAAAATTAGCATATCATGAAAAGGTTCTCTAAACAAGCTATTAACCTAACCATCTGAATCAACAATGTAACTCTAAACACCTGCAAAAGATTCCTGAGGCTTTTAAAAACTCCAAGCCTTGTTCATTACTTAAAACAGAAAAATTGGGTAAGACTGCCGACCTGACTGCTGTCCAGAAGGCCATCATTGACACCCTCAAGCAAGAGGGTAAGACACAGAAAGAAATTGCTGAACGAATAGGCTGTTCCCAGAGTGCTGTATCAAGGCACCTCAGTGGGAAGTCTGTGGGAAGGGAAAAGTGTGGCAGAAAACGCTGCACAACTAGAAGAGGTGACCGGACCCTGAGGAGGATTGTGGAGAAGGGCCGATTCCAGACCTTGGGGGACCTGCGGAAGCAGTGGACTGAGTCTGGAGTAGAAACATCCAGAGCCACCGTGCACAGGCGTGTGCAGGAAATGGGCTACAGGTGCCGCATTCCCCAGGTCAAGCCACTTTTGAACCAGAAACCGTGGCAGAAGCATCTCGCCTGGGACTGCTGCTGAGTGGTCCAAAGTTATGTTCTCTGATTACAGTAAATTTTGCATTTGCTTTGGAAATCAAGGTCCCAGAGTCTGGAGGAAGAGAGGAGACACATAATTCACATTGCTTGAGGTCCAGTGTCAAGTTTCCACACTCACTGGGGTGTCATGTCATCTGCTGGTGTTGGTCCACTGTGTTTTATCAAGGGCAGGGTCAATGCAGCTAGCTATCAGGAGATTTTGGAGCACTTCATGCTTCCATCTGCTGAAAAGCTTTATGGAGATGAAGATTTCATTTTTCAGCATGACCTGGCACCTGCTCACAGTGCCAAAACCACTGGTAAATGGTTTACTGACCATGGTATTACTGTGCTCAATTGGCCTGCCAACTCTCCTGACCTGAACCCCATAGAGAACCTGTGGGATATTGTGACGAGAAAGTTGAGAGATGCAAGACCCAACACTCTGGATGAGCTTAAGGCCGCTATCGAAGCATCCTGGGCCTCCATAACACCTCAGCAGTGCCACAGGCTGATTGCCTCCATGCCACGCTGCATTGAAGCAGTCATTCATGCAAAAGGATTCATAACCAAGTATTGAGTGCATAACTGAACATGATTATTTGAAGGTTGGCGTTTTTTGTATTAAAAACACTTGTCTTTCATTGGTGGGATGAAATATGCTAATTTTTTGGGACAGGCATTTTGGGTTTTCATGAGCTGTATGCCATAATCATCAGTATTAAAACAATTAAATACCTAAAATATTTCAGTTGGTGTGCAATGAATCTGAAATATGTGAAAGTTTCATTTTTATCATTACATTATGGAAAATAATGACCTTTATCACAATATGCTAATTTTTTGAGAAGGACCTATACATCCATCATCATCTACTTCCGAGTCGTGGGGGCAGCAGCTTTACCAGGGAAGCACAGACATCAACAGCCACCTCTTCAACTCTTCTAGGAGAACCCCATGGTGTTTGCAGACCAACTGAATCATTCATTAAGTAATATCCTGATGCATGCTCAAAAATCCAGGTAGAAAAATCTAAAAAAGTTAAGTCTGGTCCTCTGGACATTCATAAAACAAAAGAAACAATAAATTTTTTAATAAATAAACAATAAATGTTTTTTTTGGTTTTTTTGGTTTTGTTTTTTGAATGTCCAGAGGACCAGACTTAACTTTGAGAGATTAATAAGTAATTGATATAGGAATGATTATTTTGATGCTTTTATGTCAATTTATACTTATACTCACGTTATATGCAGCTTATCTGTCCAAAGTCAGGCCTGTACTGCAGATATGTTTTGGAGGAATGAAAGTAAGCCTCCGGGGGGTGCTCTGGCCGTA